GAATCTTACCATATTGCCTTGATATTCTATTCCGTTTGAGGATAATTTCCCCCATATAGTTTAATCACGAGGGTTTGGAAAGCTTTAGTTGAGATTCCAAACTAATTTCATATTATCCACAGTAAAAATATCAAATTGAACGAACTAGGTAGTAATTAACATCGACCTAAGTAAGAATTAGGGGAAAACATACCCAAGTGAGTTCTCTAGGAATTAAGTAGGGAAACCGTCAAAACTTGTACAAATGCCATCTACGCTATCAAATCTTAAGAGACTCTAAGACTCTCCACTTTTGGAAGTTCGATTATTTTGGGATTTTTCCAATAATAGCACCTTTTAAAAAAAATTTACAAAAATAGCACCCATCCGAAAATATTTACACTAATAGCACCATTTTTTTTACCGCACCTCCAAGGTGCGTTTTATGTGTAAACCGCACCCTCCAGGTGCGTTTTATGTATAAACCGCACCTTAGAGGTGCGTTTTGCGCCACGTCAGACTGAGAACCGGACCTTCAAGGTGCGGTCTGTGTTTCCCTGGGAGCGGCCTTGGAGAACGCAGGATCCAGCTGCGATCCAGCGGTGGACCGCTTGCCACCTCAGCGATCCACGCCATGGATCGCAAACCGCAGCGGCAGGGAGCGGTCAACACTCGGGGAGCGTAAACCGCGCCGGGAAGCTGCGGTTTTGACTGGGGCAAAATTACCAGACCGCCCCTGGAGGGTGCAGTCTGATGGGTGTAAATACCCCCCTTCCCTTCTCATTTTTTCACACCACAACCCATTCTTCCTTCTTTCTCTAGAATTTATCTCTCTAAACCCTCCCCTCCCAAAAGCCTAGGAAATAGTGGTCTGTTGGTTGCGGCTAAGTCTGATCTGCCATCAGAAAACATTTCTTTGGTTTTTTCCTCAAAATCCGCCGAGCCTAGCCGAATCTCTTTCCGAATTTCCCGAAAAAATGAGCGATTGGTGGCTAGGAGAGGGAGTTTATGTTGATGAATTTCTAGCGGTACGTACTCATTATTCTGGTTTGATTTTTGTTGTTGTTATAAGCTTTTTAATTAATCTATGTACTAACCTCGTTGTTATTTTCTCGTAGGTTGGGGACGACGTGGATATATACAACCAACGGTATTATCTCGAGCAAGGACCGTTGGATCCAACCGACTTGTACGACCAACTCAACCATCGGTCAAGGGATGTTTGGAATGATCACCCGGTACATACAATTCTTCACCATTTGTCTTTCTTTTATTTTGCTAATGTATTTAGTGGAATATCAAATAAATCTATGTTGACTTTTTAATCGTGTTGGTTGTTTTCAATAATTTAATCGAATACATAGCGCCACTTACTTCGACTCTTTATAAAGAGATGCACGTCTAAGGAAATGGGGTTTTAAGCGATTATCATACCCTCCCATTCCCTGGGAAAATCGGGTATTAAGAGATCCTCAGATCCCCCCTTTTTCTATCAAAAAGACTGCGTTTCTAATAAGATGTATACCTCTTCTAAGAGTCTAACGAGTGTTGCTCTGTATTCGATTAAATTATATAAAACAACCAATACGATTAAATTATTTACCAAACAACCAATATGATTTATTTTTATGTGTACAAAATGAATTTTATTAATTTCGAACATTTGAATATGTATGTTTCTCTTTAAATTATTATTCATTTACAATGTTATTTATGTTAATTAATTTAGTATGTTTATTTTACGATAATATGTATGTATCATTTTAAATTATTATTCATTTAGAATGTTATTATGTTAATTAATTTAGGATGTTTGTTTTATGATAATATGTATGTATCTCTTTAAATTATTATTGATTTAGAATGTTATTATGTTAATTATATGAAATGTATTTTTATGATAATAAGGTTTCCCTTGTGTTTTATCATAACCCCATCATGTTTTTCATAACACATTTTCCCTTGTGTTTTAGCTTATGTAGTTTCATTATTGTCTTATTAATAAGGTGGCTCGGACACACAACATGCGACAACCTTGCCCAACACAAGTTCGACGAGTATCGGAGGAGGTTTGAGCGACTTTGGGAAGGAGATGTAACTTCTATACTTCGATCCATTTATATCTTTCTTCCATGGACTACATATATTTTTCCAATTCTGATAAACTTAAGTTACTCATTTCTTTCTTGTAGATCGTCTTCGATTCATACCCGGAGAACATCGTTCAGTGGCATCTCCAGCAATTCCCCGATCATATCGCCAATGGTGCACGAGGGTCCCTCTAATTTGTTTTGGGACCGTGGAGTGGCACTTGCCGGATCGATGCCTCCATCAGTCTGGTCGGGAGCAGTGACTTTCACCTTCAGGTTAGGATCTTGCTCAATTAGATGCTTGATAGCCGCAACAACCACCCTGGATTTCAACTGCCGATGGCCTTGGGATGTTATGGATGACACACATGTGTGTGTGTTCACCGCACGGGATATGACCCAATGGCCGTGTCTCTCTTGCTATTGATGGCCCGGATCCTAACATTACATCCCTCATTATGATTACGGCATCTGACTATGAGCCTTTTCGTGTTGGAATGAGTTGTGTGTCATTCAAAATGCCGAGTCATTGCTTCAGTATCAATGGCGTGCCGCACCTCCTTCTTCGAGCCAAATTGTTGACCCTTCATAAACCTAGTGAGTGGACCCCATATTGGAACCTTCGGCGGTTCCATGTCGCTGTCGACCATCCAATTGTCGTTTGGATTGTGATTGTAGTAGGGGACTGGTACACGGTCATGAGCCACCTCATCATCATTATCTGAGTCTGACTCTGGTCCTGAATCATCAGCACCTTCAAGAGGGTCGGAGCTGTCTGCACTGACATTGTTCTCTCCTTCTTCATTGGAGGGGTCACTGACTGGTCCTGGCAGCGCATCTCCCATCTGATCCAGCTCATGAAAGGCACCTTCATCAGCTCTATAATGATAGTTGTGAAAACTACCATTGCCTGAGTGGAAGTTGTACTAGGGTTGGTTGGCATGGTCCGGTTGAACTTCTTCTTCATATGACGGGTAAGATTGATGATAACCTTCACCTTGCTCTTGGTACTGAAAATAGGAATGAGGATCATGGTAACTTTGGTAGGGATGATCTCCATACTCATCACCTCCATCATGGATACAAGATGTTTAACCGTCTCCAGAATGACCTCCAACACCTACGACCGGCTCGGTGTAAACGAACATCTCGACTTTGGAAAGTTTGTTGGACCTCAAGAATTCGAACATGGCATCTACCTCATCCTGAGTGGTTATGAGATATTCCTCGTGCCACAACGAGCCTTCTCTGTTTGGATATCGGTACACCATACGATCAACTCTTCTCGTGTCATCCATGCAAGTAACGTTAGTACACATTTGATAGAGGTCTTCAAGCATCGGTCTGGTAGCGACCTTTATTTTCTGAAAATTTCCACCGACGTAGGTGGCCCCCTTTCCGCTATCTTCTGTGTAACCATTCCACTGTAACCCAAGCGTGAACTTTTGGAATGCCATCTGCAAAAAAAAAAAAAAAACAGTAGTTCAACTAATATCATAAAAATCACAATTCACAATAAAAAGTAATACAAAAATAAACTTACGAGTTAACGTTAACCGCAAAAATACTAGAGAAATATGGAGCTACAATAGAAAATTGAAAAGGGAGAATGAGAAGGAGAGGTGTGAAGAGAAGAAGATTTCCCGGCTGCCTTTTATAGGCAAAATCATCAATGAAAACCGCACCTTAGAGGTGCGTTTTTCATCTGCCATGCAGCCCCACGTCTGTGAATCTGCATGGCAGCTTGTCTGGTGTCGGAAAATAATTGACACACAAACTGCACTTGGGGGTGCGGTTTGTGTGGCAAAACCGCACCTTGGGGTTGCGGTTTTGATTTGGAGAAACAAACCGCATCTCCAAGGTGCGGTTTTGGTAGGCTGGGCCATAACCGCACCTCGGCCAAGCGGTTTGTGTAGGTCAGACCTGAAATCGCTTGGCCAAGATGCGGTTTTGGCCCAGGATTATGGACCGCACCTTAGAGGTGCGGTCCATAAAAAAAGTGCTATTTTTGTAAATATTTTCGGCTGAGTGCTATTTTTGTAATTTTTTTAAGGTGCTATTTTTGGAAAAATCCCGATTATTTTATAGCAACCAAAATCATGGGTGGAATGAATTGCACGTACTTTGTCCAAATTATTTTGACCCAAAGCAGTTGCAATCTCCTCCGATATTTCCAAACCGAAAATCACATTTGACAATTTTGAACTCAAATTAAGAGTGGTCCATACTGAAAGACAAATGTATCTTCTTTGGCAATACAAATGATGGACCAACCGCCCATTTAGCAAACTTCCTAGAGTTTATGCATCCATATCACCTCAAGAGGTCTCTACGGATGAAATCAACGTATGCTATTCCAGATGGAACCTTTAAAACATGTGATACTCTTGTCAAGCCCTTCACGGAGATGGGGAAGGCCAACGAAATAAGGGACCAAATCTTGAGGTTCAAACAAAAACAGGGAAAGGCGCTCTATGAAGGTTGGGATTGTTACCAAGGGTTACTTCAATCTTGCCCACATCATGGATTTAGCTTGGAGCAACTAGCACACTGGTTCTTCAAGAGTTTAAATGCTCCCAAGATTCAAACAGTTGACATATCCGCAAAGGAGGCCATCAATCAGCTTACTTCAACAACTACATTATAACTTACGAATCCATGGCTTGCAGAACTAAGAACTAGGTGGGGAGAACAACTCTGGTGCATTATAATTTCCGCCATCCACCTAAGATATTATTATTATTATTATTTGACTTTCGTATTATTATTAGTTTGAATATTCGGTTATTATTTGGTTATTCGCATTATTATATTATGTCTTGTCTAGGAAGTTATTGTTTACTAGTCGGTTTGGGATTGGGTTTCCTTGTCTTAAGGGGAAAGGAGTTTGTGGGACTTGTCCTATAAATATGTACCTTTGGTCTTCGTTTTGTTCATTCGATCAATAAAGTCTAATAGTTTAGTAGTAATTTAGTTATCTTCAGCGCATTCTTAGTTCGTTCGTCAGAGAGCTCGAGTTCTACGACGTGTGAGAATCTATCACGCACCAATTGGTATCAGAGCCTGGTTCCGACGAACCGAGCTCGACGAGGCTGGCATACAGGGCACGCTTGACGGAAACCGACTTGATGTTGGACATCATCCAAAGGCGATTCGAAGGATGCAGAAGATTGCCGCGGGATGACGTTCTGCAACTTGTCGATGGTGAACCACCAATCGAGATTGATAAACCGCCGGATAAACCTCCTATTCCGGCCGATGTAGAAATCTCCTTGTGCTCTCTTACCGGTGCCTCTAGCCCTACTACCATCCGCTTCAACACGTCAATCCGCCAAGAACGAGTCGTCGTGCATGTTGACCATGGGTCGTCACATAAATTTGTAAGCCGTGAAGTTGCCGAGAAGTTATTCTTGAAAGCTAGGCCGATCCCGCCATTCGAGGTTAAGGTCGCCAATGGCGATTGTCTGGTTTGTAACCGTTGTTTTGAAGTTGTTCCTATTGAAGTTCAGGGCACAAGGTTGGTCGTTGATTTGTTTGAACTTCCGATTCATGGCCTCGAAGTTGTCTTCGGCGTTCATTGGCTTAAAGAGTTGGCGCCTATGACGATTAATTGGCAGCTGATGACGATACGTTTCAAATACAACGGTGTATGGGTCACATTGCAGGGGATTCGCGAACCTACGGATAGGGACACCAACCTCGCAAAGCGTCAACACGGGCGCAGTGGATGGGGTCGTGAAGACGGTTCAGGGATCTTGGCGTTGTCGAAAGGCGTTGTGACTGGAGGCTTCGCACCACAAGGATCGACGGCAGCCACACCAGCAGGTGAGAGGCTGGAGATGGAGTCATTGCGGGAGAGATCGGAGAAAAGGAAGGGTGCTTCCGTTATTCTGAAGGGAAGCCGAGGTTCGGTTTGTGGCTGTATCGGACCAAGTATGAGAGGATTGGTGGGTGCATTACTGTATGGAGTGGGCCATGGAAGCCATGGGCAAGTCGTCGGGGAGTCCACAGCCGAGCCGAAGAGAGTGATGAGCGCAACGTCACGAAATCTAGGAGGATTCGAAGGTGTACGGAATCGTGAACTTACTGATGGCTACCGGATGATCGACGACCAAGGGAGCATTGCCATTATGAGGATGGGTTTAAAAGATGGTTATTTTACTAGTTCTTATAATTCCATGCAGAGGGAGCGTAGGAATGGGGATGTGGTGAATTATTATATCATGCAGGGTTAGCAGGCTGGAGAACAACATCATGAGCGCCGTTCGGAAGAGGGAGTTGAGTGGAACTTCCATTCAATGTGTGAGAAGGTGCAACAAGCTAGAGTTAGCTGCGATGGCGGGGGGTTGGTTCAAGTACCCGAACCTAATCGGAAGCGTCGTAAACGAGATCGGTTTCGAGGGGCATTCACTCTCTTTATTGTCATCAATACGTGGGAACGATTCTTCTTCATCGATCTAGGTTGAAGATGACGCCTGAACCTCGGGGACGAGGTTGTTTAAAGAGAGGGGGGAGGGGGTTTGGTGCATTATAATTTCCGCCATCCACCTAGGATATTATTATTTTTCTTTCATATTATTATTAGTTTGAATATTCGGTTATTATTTAGTTATTCGCATTATTATATTATGTCTTGTCTAGGAAGTTATTGTTTACTAGTCGGTTTGGGATTGGGTTTCCTTGTCTTAAGGGGAAATGGGTTTGTGGGACTTGTCCTATAAATATGTACTTTTACTCTTCGTTTTATTCATTTGATCAATAAAGTCTAATAGTTTAGTAGTAATTTAGTTATCTTCATCGCATTCTTAGTTCGTTCGTCAGAGAGCTCGAGTTCTACGACGCGTGAGAATCTATCACGCGCCAAACTCCCAAGCAAGTACAAAACCCATTTTTTTCACTGCTGATATAATTTGAATGAGATTATTTGCTCACGACTAAAAGCCACGGGTTATGGGCTTATACAAGTTTAGGTTTTTGTTCTGGGTCTGGTTGTAACCTTATTCTTTACCACAATGGATTAAGGTTAGACCGTCTGGAGAAGTACCACATATACTTCTCAATCCCTTTGTAATATGGATCTCCTCAAGTATAGTGAAACTGGTTCTCTCACGCTCATGAACTAGCTAACACACATTGTGTTAATGAATCATGTGAATCTGTGTGTTCTTTACTTTTCTGCATCGTAAATTATCCTAATCCTGTTCTCAGAGCACTAAACAAATAGTCAGCCTACAAGCTCAACTTACCACTTATACTGAGCAAGAAAACAATGTAAGACAACTTGGTGTGGAATGTTATGTCCTGTACGATCAACCGGTTTGCCAAAATTATTTTGAAAAAGAAATCAACCCTCATGAGTTCCTCGCACTCCAATTTCATAACCACAATATGAAAAAAATGGACGAGAGGTCTCAAGAAAGACTCGATGAAACTTAGAGAAAGGATTGAGTTAGGTCCAAGTTGATCGGGACTACATAAATTTAAATTTTAGACACATGTTATACTGAGAAGAAAAGGGGAAGAAAAATAACTAGGGTCTCAAGAGGACAAAAAAAGACCAAGTGTCACTGACTTATTACATAAATCTTTTTCTATTTTTTCACCATAAATAATAAACAGAAAAATAAAATAAAAGGGAAGAAAAATAAAATTTTAAATTTAAGTATGAAAAAATAAATTAATTAAATAACTTATGTCTTATTTCTAAAAAAAATGAAAATGAAATTTATGTAATAAGTGATGGCCAATTTGATCATCTTTATTCCTCTTTACCGGCCAACTAACGAAATTTTGGATGGAATACTATGTTTGTTACGTTTTAGGGTTACATTTGTGGTAAAAAAATAATCGAGCGATATGTTTGTTAACTTGTCATAGTAGATGGGTATTGATAATGACATAATTTAACATGTTTTTATTCCCATTTCTTGATTGTTTGGCTTGGTAATCAGGCCCATTTCACTCTAGGCAGTGTTCATTTTCCCCTATTTTGGTCCCAGCACATGGAGGGAGTTTAGGAGCAACTTATATGTCATTTGGAGGTCAAAACGCGTCAAAAAGTGGAGGTAGACTGGTTTGCTTATACCGTCACACTAGAAAGTGGCCAAGTGTAACCACCTACTAATGTGTAGTATAGCGGGTTTAGTTCTAAATGTCAATTGGGTCCTAGGTGTGATGAATACTCCGTGAGATTCTTATTATTTAGTGGTTAACCTGTCGTGAAGTTCCAACTAAACTAGCAAGCAAAAGCAGTAAATGTTGTTTTCCAAGTTCGAGAGAGGTCACCCAGATATCGTACCCCCAAGACTGCAGTTAAGCCAAGTTGTAATTTGCTAAGTTTAGATTCAAAGATAGTTCTACGGCGGGAGGTTCTTAGACAGTCTGCAGTCTCGACTAAAGGTCTCAGACCCTCTCAATCTGAGTCTCCAGCGGGCGACTAACCTCCACCGGAGTAAATAGACTGAGTCCCTAACGTACCAAACCTCCTCTACTGAAATAAATCCAGTACAGAATAATGAATTGACTCCTCGACTAGAGTCGTCAATTCACTACCTTCAATCAAGGGTGCTCTATCAACCTAGGCAGATATTCTCATTCTAGGTCAAAGCGGGAATAACATAAATTTGATCAGGATCCATGCAATTTAGAAAACCATGCCTCAATTGAATATATTCAGTATCAAAGAATTTGTACTTGGGTTCATACAACCAGACCTATCATACAAATCTAGGGTTCTTCATACCCAAGTGAGTGAGAGAGTTTACTTCATAGAGAGAGAAGAGAAATCTAGGCCAGATGCAGAAATCATGCTGTGAAGGATGAGAATCTGCTTCTGGTAATCAATCTCCACCTCTCCAAGCTTTAGCCGAGCTCCAATGGTAATGAAGATCGATCTAGGGCGCTTGGAGACTTTGGTTCGCCGCTCTCTCTTTAGGTATCTGCTTTCTTTCTCTAAAACTCGGATCCCCCTCAAAAATGGCATTCTTTCCCTCAAAAGGGAGCAGATCGCGATACCCGACCGTAATACCCGGTCCGATATTACAGGGGGCCAGCCAGGTATTTTGAAACGCAACGCAATGGCCCTAGGAGAATAACCGATCGGGTATTTAAGCGATCCGGTCAGGACCCCTTCTGTTTCCTAGCCCCAAAATGTGCTTTACCCGGCCTCCTTTTTCATTTTACCCGGTCGGGTTTTTCAACTCCTGACTAGGTATTTTCATCTGACAGCTTTTTTACCATAAATTTAGCCCCGAGAGCTGAATGAAAATTCACCGATTTTGTAGGTCACTTCCTAAGTCATGGTCGTGACTTGTGGCTTGTTTTCGGGTTTAAATGTTGTTTTGAGATTTCCGAAGGAGAAGAACTGAGTTTTGGACCCCAAACACCCAAGGGACGAACCAAAGAGAGGGAGAGCGATCTAGAGACATTCTTGGAGCAGAATTGGAGGATTTATTTGCATTGGAAGCTTGAGGAACAAGCCAAGACAGGTAGATTGCATATCATAGAAAGTTATAATGTATTCTCTCTATTCTCTATAGAGTAGTTTCCCTTCACATAGGTTTTGAAGAACCCTAGTTCCATGTGTTAGGATCTTTCTTATATGAACCTTTGGATGTTATATGAAATGGTTTTGTTCAATTGAGGCATGGTTATTTTACTCAATTGAGTTTTGATCACATTCTCTTGAAGTCTGCTTTAACCTATAAGAGATAGAATCTAATTGGCTTTAGAGAGTTTATTCAATTGAAGTAGTGAATGGATTGTGCGAGAGTCAATCGATTCATTACTCTGCACTAGGATTCAATCAAGTAGAGGAGATCTTTGTTTATTGCCTTTGCATTTTATTCCGGTGGAGGTTAGTGGCCTGCCGGGTACTTTGTCTAAGAGGGCTTGATCTGCTTTAGTCGAGATTACGAGCTACTATCGGATATTCTGCAGTTTAATTATCAGTGAAACAATTAAATGTAATTACAACTTGGACCTAATTGATGAGCTAGGGAGGATCATACTTAAGTGAGTTCCCAACTTGTAATTAGTAGTCTAACCTAGTTTATCTTGTAGAGTAGTTTAGTTAATCAAACCCCATTCTAATTTGTTAGATTATGAAATGAAGCTGAGTAATAGTAACACTAGAGACCCGTGGATTCAATATTTATTACTTGTGTCACTGTACTGCAATCCCTTTCATTGGTTACACTTGGTCATTGTTAGAAGTTGTGTTTTAGTGAGTCATGTATAAAATGCTATTAGCCCGAAATTTTAAATAAATGATAGTGACTAGTTTGCTAGTGATCTAGAAAGTAAAAACTAAAGAGACTGGAATGAAAAGTCTCTAGTAAGATGAATAAAGAGCTTTTTAAACCTTTTTACTAACCAGGAAATTTGGAATGCTCTGATGAAGATGGCGCCCACAAAAGCCCCAGAAGAAAAAAAATAAAGAAGGAAAGCGAGGAAGACAAAAGATTTATTCTAGTGGATGGAAGAAATTATGGCAACTCAAGCTACCACCAAAAACTAGAGTTTTCATTTGGCGATGGGGCAGAAACATACTACCCAATGGCTCAAATTTGGTTTGTAGAATTAATTATGCTTACGAAGGATGCCCTTTATGTTGTTTACTGGAAACTCGAGAGCATATTACTAGAGAATGTGTTTAGGTAGGTACAGTGTGGAGATCTAGCTCCTTGAGCAAAATCTTTCGATGTGGTGACTGGTGAGGGCAAATCATCCGAAGAATGGTTGTGTGAAGATGTGAAGAGCTATATTCATTTATTGCAATGCTATGGTTCTTATGGAAGGAATGAAACAACCATCTCTTCAACAACAACAAAAACTAGAAGAATGCGAGGTTATAGCTAAATCAGAACACTATCTTGAAAAATCATGGGTTGTTCAAGATAAAAAAAAGAACCAAACCTGGGAGGGAAGATGGAGTACAAATGGGAAAAGCCTCGATTCGGGATGTTTGAAAGTGGATGTACTTTTGCTGAAGGAGGAACTGGATTTGGCCTGGTGATTAGAGACTGCAGAGGGCAGTTCCTTTTGGCGGTGGTGCATCGAACGAGAACAGCTTGGACGTCGGAGATAGCAGAGACGAAGGCGATGCTGTGGGGATTACGTCTAGCCCTACATCATAATTTTCAGTCCGATACTGATGGAATCATACTGTAAAACACTGATCAATAAGCAAGGAAAAGATGAACGGTCAAAATTGGAAGTGGAATCGGTGTGCGATGAGATCAGGAAGATGGTGGAAGAAGGGGGTTTGGTGTAGCGGTGATTCTGGGGAAGGAAAGGAAATGGGGCAGTCCATCGAATTGCACGAATGTCGTGTTGTTGGGAGGAGTCTGAGTTGTGGTTCTAGCATGGTTGTCATGACGGTGGCATGCCACTCGTTTGAACCTGATTTAACTTGTGCCGGTCATGAAATCGGCATGACACCACCGATATAACCGGTATGATCAACTTACGCATTTTAAGTAAAATGACATCATTTTAATGAATTTAATGAATAAAAAAATTAATTTATTATTCATTTTATTAATGTAATAGTTAAAAGTAGATGATATTTGTTGGATTGTAACTAAATTGTCTACAAAAATGTTTTATATATGATTAAATACATTGTCTTTAGTTTCATGTTTTAATGAGTATACTGGGAAACTCAAGGGTTGTGTTTTATGTTTTGTTGCTCTGGATTGAGGTCGCCCAAGTGTTTAGGGCATTTCACTTGAAACTCTTAAACATTGTGGTTGTTGAATTTTTTTTTACTTGTAAACCGTTTTGGGTTGCTCCGGAGTAACCGATTTTGTGGTTTGAGTTGTGGTTCGGTTTTCAAAAAGAGTCGGGGTGTTTCAATTGTTTTCACATTTTTTTAAACCGGCATGAACTGGCACAAACTGGTTATACAACGGTATAAACCGGTTTGACAACCTTGGGTTCTAGAGACCACCTTATTTCCATTTTTCTCAAGTATAGTTAGATTGTAAAAACACTTTGATTGTTTAATCGAAATTACATGCCCTTTATTAAAAAAAAAAACTAAAGAGACTTTTTTTTACAAGCTAAAGAGACTTTTGCTATTAACCAGCGCTCGAAGTAGGGGTGGACATTCGGTCGGTTCGGTTTTAAAATTATGCATACCGAGTCCCCGAATTTCACTAAACCTGAAATCGAATTCGAACTGAATTATAATTTGATTCGGTCTATTCGGTTTGAAATTTCACACAAAACCGAATTTGTGAAGCTATTTGTATCTTCTCCCTTTTAAATTATTTTTTACCCCTAATGTAAACAATAAATATGCAATTATATGCATCATCAATGATAAAATCAAATATTTCAACACATAAGTTATAAAATCCAAACATGATTCAAATATTGAGTCTCAAAACAAGCACAAACATAAAAAAAACCACCATTTGGAGCTTACAATTATAGTTATTCGGTTTTCGGTCGGAAATTCGATTTGGTTGAAAAAATCATGATTTCCGAAATATCCATATATCCCTGCCGAATTTCGAACCGAATAGCATTATTTCGGTTTCGATTTGGTTTAATTCGATTTTTGTTCGGTTCAGTTTGGGTTTACCGAACCGGTTGTCCACCCCATCTCTAAGAAACCGCGAAATCAGATCCAACGGTCCTAAATCTCCGCTGGGAGTCCACCGAGAAATTCATTCACATTGCCACGTCATAGCAAGATCAGGATTCAATTGCTCTTGCCAGGGAAGAGGCTATTTCCACTTTTTGCCGAAGTAAATTAGACCAACCAGACCCTACTTCTGTGCCTGCTTGCTTACCCTGACTGTGAAATCCCCATGGATGCACCACCGCGAGGAGGAGGAGGAGTAGGCGCTCCACAGCATCGGCAGCAGCCGCCTCCGCCACCGCCTCCCGGCGCCGGGAACCCCATTCCTATACTTCTGCTGTTCCTAGTCATCGTAGCTATGGTATCCCTCTGCCCTTCTTCTTCTCTACCGGCTTCTTATCCTCTATTTTGTGGTCAGTCAGTCTCTTACAATCTGCTGCTCTTCACGGTGTAGTGTGCTGGAATCTTAGTTAGTTTATCGACGGTGGAATCTGTCCCCCGTTGAGTCTGAAAATCGGACTTCACATGGCTGATTATTTGTTCCATACGTCCTTCTTGCAGCTCCATGGTTTTCTTTGCCCAGAATTTGATTTCCGTTCATCTTGATTGAGCCCTATTTCCTTGTTCCTTTTTGCTTGTAAAGTAGCTCTGGACATCCATTCAAAATTGATTGGGACTGATGTTTGATCGTAGATCATTATTTTCTTCGATGAACACTGATGAACTTGATGATCAGAGAGGCTTTTAGTAGATGGAATGCTAAGCTAAGCAAGCTGTTTCCACCAATTTGGTTTTCCATATATCACATCATTGGGGGAAAGGGGTAACTCAACACCAGATTGTTGTAGAGGAGTCTCATGTTAGCATTGCATTTCTGCATTGTCTTAAAGTTTTACCTTCTCAGTCCAGTTTTTTCACTATAGGTTGGATATAGACTGGGATTATATATATATATATATATATACAATATTACATATAAGTAAAAGAGAGAGTTGAATATGTGATATCTTAGAGAAATATCTATAATGTTTTGTGGGACAACATGGTAGGTACTGGTTCCTTCAACATCAAGCTTAAAGAGTAGCTTCACTATCATGCATCAAGTGCCAGAAGGCCATGTTGGGGTATATTGGAGAGGAGGTGCCCTTTTGAACACAATCACAGAACCAGGTATGCATGCATGTACCCTCAACTCCTTTCTTTACCCAGTTTCCGTTTTTCAGTCGCTAGAATTATGTTGGTGATCTTACTTATGCTTTTTATGTTCAGGTTTCCATTTTAAGCTGCCTTTAATAACCCAGTACGAGCCAGTTCAAGTCACCCTCCAGACAGACCTAGTAAAAAAACGCTCATCAGCATATCTTTGATTCAATAAGATGGGCCATTTTGTCACCAGATGGTGCTTATTCAATTTTCTCTGTAAAAACTTGCAGGTGAGGGACATTCCATGTGGTACCAAAGGTGGTGTCATGATAAACTTTGAAAAGATTGAGGCAAGTTTTTTGAGATATTGTTCTTCATTTGCCATATGATATGTTAGAGTCCTTTTTCAGTAAAAATGACTGTTTCCATATAACCATTTCAGGTTGTTAATCGACTTCGTAAGGAATATGTATATGACACCCTGTTGAACTATGGAGTGCAGTATGACAATACTTGGATTTATGACAAAATTCATCATGAAATCAATCAATTCTGTAGCTCTCATTCCCTCCAGCAGGTCTATATCGATATGTTTGATCAGGTATGCAAGTACAGTTACTATATATATGCTTATAAATCCATTAGTGTTTTTTTACCATCCAGATTCATTTTATGGGTTTGAATTGTGATTGAAGAAGGCACTATCCAAATAAATAAATCAACCTTTATTTTATGTTTAGAGCTAGTTTTTTGGTCCTTGGTCTTTCCTTTCCCGTAATTAAAGATTGAAAACTATTCTTCCCTTGCTGTCACCAGATTGATGAGAAGATGAAAGATGCCATTCAGGTCGATTGCACTAGGTATGCTCCGGGCATTGAAATTTTAAGCGTCCGCGTAACAAAGCCTTTGATTCCAGAGAGTATAAGAAAGAATTTCGAACATATGGAAGAAGAACGCACGAAGGTAATCTCTCTATCTCAAGGAAGAATACATGCTGGCGCAAAATAACTTGACAAAGTTTCTGGAAATAATAATAGGTTTTAATTGCTATCGAGAAACAAAGAGTGGTGGAGAAAGAGGCAGAGACAGCGAAGAAGATGGCTATCAGTGAAGCCGAGAAAAGTGCCAGTGTGAGCAAGATTCACATGGAACAGAAGTTGATGGAGAAGGATAGTGAAAGGATGCAGCAAGAGATTGAAAACCACATGTATATGGCTCATGAGAAGAGTTTAGCAGATGCTGCATTCTACCGGTAAATTGATTTAAGTGGAAACATTTCTGTCTTCTCCTCTACTGTAACCCAGAATGCTATAGTGAATCATAATATCTTCTTATCTCTTCCTCCTTCCCGTCTCAGTGTGATGAAAGAAGCTGAAGCAAACAAATTGAAGCTGACCCCCCAGTTTCTGGAGCTGAAGTTCATTGAAGCAATAGCCGACAACACAAAGATTTTCTTTGGGGAGAAGGTATCCTCTACTTCTTGAAATGCTCTCTCTATGTTTTCAAAATTTCATCAATTGTTAAAATTGTTCTCATAAGTAACCCTTGTTACGTTGTTTACATTATTAGGTGCCAAATATGGTCCTTGATCAGAGACTCCTGGGGAACTTCCTGCATAGGATGTCTGGAGATGTAGCAGCTAAAGAGGCAAACTTGGATGAGGTGTCGACGGGCGATGGACGTAGTGAAATCTGACATCTAGGTAGTGAATGGCTGAAGATGTTCAAGTGAGTTTCAGGAGCTTGCTGTTGCTCTTAGTAGTTGTCAATGGTTTGTACTTGTTTCTTGTTATTCATTGAAACTGAAATGAAGTGGGAAGAAAGTTGTGTTGAAGTTTCATGCCATGCCGATGCCAGCAAGAGAGGCTGTGCGAAATTAACGAGATCAGAGAGGGGGCAGTGGCACATCACATGTATAATAGAGCTAGAGCATCAAGGGCCCACGGGTCAATTGTCCAAAAACAAATGTTCGCCGAAAACTAAACATTGAAAGCTCTGTCTTCATCTCTCCATTTTTTTACTTCTCGAGTGTTCTCCTCCATCCTACTCTTTGCTTCAATAACTTGCGTATGTCAATCACCATTAAGCTTGAGCGTAGAAAGGGACTACGTAGAGCGCAAAACACTGATGGGGTAACTGGGTCGGTTTCATGGATAGGGGTGTACATGGGTCAGGTTTGAGCATTTTAACCATCCAATCAATTAATCACGGTTGAATTATTATAAATTAAATCCACACATTAATTTCAAGATCTTATGGGTTTCTTGAATCATGGTTTGAGTTGGGTTGGTTGGAAATCCACTCCATTATACTAGACTAAAATTTGTAATTTTAATAATTTAACTAGCAAAGCCGTCGCTTCGCGTCAACAGAACTATATGATAAAATAACATGAGAACATAATAATGTCAAATATCATCTGAACCTTCCATCTCGTATGTGAAAAAATGCGTTATTTCAAGGGCTATTGAAAGTCTGCCTACTGTCATATATAGTCTTAGTCTTCGAGCTGATGGAGATGCAATTTCTACCCAAGGTTGTCAAACCGCGGGTCGACCCAAACCCGGATGAACTAGTGGGTCATGGGTCATTGGGTCACCCGTTTTAGCCCGGTTTAGCCCGGAAATATGGAAAATGTAATTATATTATACTTATCCTGAATCCAACATAAAAAATGCAACACTACTTCAACTCCAACACACTTAAATAACATCAACTTAAATTCAACATAGTAAAAATTGAACAACACTTAAATCATTCACATAACATCAACTTAAATCCATCATAGTTAAAAATTCAAGGCGGAGGCGGAGTCCTCAGAAACGGCGACGCAACGGCCAACGGGGCTCAGGAAGAGCAACCCGTTGACCCGCTCCAACGGGCTAACCGACCGGGCCAACCCGGGTTTGACCGGATTTCTCCGGGTTTGACTATTTCCGGGCTGACTTGAAAATGGGTTGGTATGGCCCGTTTTTTTGGCCGGGTCCGTGCTAATCCGGGTCGACAACCTTGTTTCTACCGCTGCCTTCCTGCCACTATCAATCTGTTGTTTTTTTTTTTTTTGGAGATGTAAGATCACCTTCTGTTTCTCCATCAACCAGTAAGCGGCGTGCAGTTTCACTTTAGCTAAGATAGTAGCCAATTTCTCGTTACCAATAGATGAGGTTATATGGAAAAAAACATTAAATATATGGAGTGACATGACATACTATTGAGAGGCCGCTGAACTTTGAAAATTGAGAATGGAAAATGCATAAAAAGGTTAAAAAAATCATTAGGAGAGGGCTATAACTTGGAGGAGGCAGCATAAGATGAATCACAAGCCGTCACTTCTGCCATTTCAAAGCATCCCTAGGTCATGAGGAGAGATCATTTTGAGCTACACCAGCTAAGTTTCCTAGAGGCAATATGATAAGTGGGCATTAGTTTATACTTGATACGAAACTTCATGATAGAGAAGAATCGGATTGGGATTAGAGAAGAAGAACTAGGGATTGGAAAAGAATTAGGGATTGGGAATAGAATTTGGGAAAGAATAGAGAGAAGAGGGATTTAGGGATTTTGATATTCTTATTGCTTAAACCCAAATGAATGTGCAGAACACTAATTTATGTGTTTCAGAAAACTAACACAAAATAACAAAAATGCCATCAACCCAGCCCAAACGGCCAACCCAACCCGACCCGCGGGTCTCTATCATCCCCTTCCCCATCAGAAACGACCTTGTCCTCAAGGTCGAATGTCGGAAAACGCTGTCGTAGCATGGTCGTCTCCTCCCAAGTAGCATCCTCTCGCGCCATGTGTTGCCATAGAACCAAGCTCTCCTCAATCAGGCGCCCTCCCTTCCGAACCCATCTGGTATCCAAAACCTGTGTCGGGGTCAATATAAGGTCCCCATCCGCAGAAACCGGCGGAGCAGTCGTCTCAACTCGATTCGCAGCCCCTCTGTAACGCTTCAGCAGTGAGACATGAAAGGTAGGATGGATACGAGCATCCGCTGGCAACTGCAAACGATACGCCACCGGATTAATCTTCTGCAGTACCTCGTAGGGCCCAAAGTAACGGGCGGCAAGCTTCTGGTATGCCCGTCGGAAAACGGAAGCCTGCCGGTATGGGTGGAGGCAAAGCAGAACCCAGTCCCCCACCTCGAACTCCTCCTCACGTCTTCCTGCATCCGCCATTTGCTTCATCTTGTTGTTGGCCGCCGCCAGATTAGCCTTGAGCTGCTCCAAGGCCTCATCCCGAGTCCCGAGCCATCGGTCTACTGCGTCCACCGGGCTAGTCCCCTGCTGATATCGAACCAATGCAGGCGGTGGCCTACCATACAAGGCCTCAAACGGCGTCGTCTGGATCGCCCTATGATACGTAGAGTTATACCATAGCTCATCCCATGGCAACAGGCCCAACCACCTTCTCGGCTGATGATGAGCAAAACAGCGGTTGACCACCTCCGTCTGGCCATCGGTCAGCGGGTGATAAGCAGAACTCATCCGCAAGGTCGTCCGGGCCATGGCGAAAACCTCCTGCCAGAATCGGCTCAGAAAGACCGAATCCCGATCACTGACAATCGATCTCGGGAACCCGTGATGGCGTACGACTCCCATCACAAACTGCTCTGCGACTGACCGGGCAGTATATGGATGCGCCAAGGCCATGAAGTGAGCATACTTCGTCAGTCGATCTACGACGACGAACATAACTGTCTTACCGCCGGATGGGGGTAGGCCAACAATGAAATCCATGCTGATGTCCTCCCATACTCGCTCAGGAACCGGCAATGGCTGCAACAGACCGGCTGGGCAGAGATGAGACGCCTTAACCCGCTGACAGGTGTTGCACGATGCTACGTAGTCCTTCACATCCCGCCCCATCTGGGGCTAATAAAACTGCGCTTGGATCCGCCGCAGTGTCCTCTCTACCCCGGAATGCCCTCCAAACGGAGAGTCGTGATACTCCTGCAACACGGTCGTCACCAGGGAAGATCCCCATGGAAGGACGAGCCGCCCCCGAAAGAACACCAGCCCCTAGCGGAACGAGTAATGGCCCGGAGCTTCGCTGATCGCCGTATCCCGACAACCCCGCAAATAAGCATCAGTCTCCGTCAAAGCACGGAGCTCCCAAAACTGAGGCACCGGTCCCGTCACTGCCGCCAGTATCTCGCCCCCCGGTCGCCGCGAAAGGCCATCTGCCACGACATTGGAGGGGCCCGGCCTGTAATGGATCTCATAATCATAGCCCAGGAGCTTCGCGACCCACTTGTGCTGATCAGGAGTGGAAACGCGCTGCTCCAACAAGTTCCTCAGGCTCTGATGGTCAGTGTAAATGTGGAACTTCTGGCCCAGAAGGTACGGTCGCCACATCTACACTGCTGTAATGATAGCCTGCATCTCCTTCTGGTATGTAGACCAAGCCTCATTGGAGGGAGCCAAGGTCTTGCTCATGAAGGCCACCGGATGACGGTCCTGAGATAATACTGCCCCAATGCCCCGGCCTGAAGCATCCGCCTCAATCACGAAGGTCCGAGAGAAATCCGGCATAGCTAGAGTCGGCGTAGAGGTCATGGCCTGCTTCAGCCGATGGAATGCCGTGTCCGCCTCTGGGGTCCATGCAAACCCGCCCTTCTTCAGCAGATTAGTCAAGGGGCGGGCGATCATGCTGTACCCCTGCACAAACTTCCGGTAGTACCCTGTCAAGCCCAAGAAGCCTCGCAGCTCCATGACCGTGGTCGGAGTAGGCCACTCGACCATTGCCTACATCTTCAACTGGTCCACCTGCACTCCCTGTGGTGTGACGATGTGACCCAGGTACTCAACCTTCTGCACCCCAAACGCGCACTTCGAGGCCTTCAGGTAGTACTGGTGGCGCCGCAGAACCTCAAAGACTGTCTGCAAATGGTGCAAATGCGCCGCCCAAGATGGGCTGTAAACCAGAATGTCATCAAAGAACACAAGTACATACCGGCGCAGTAATGGTCTAAAAATGTCGTTCATGGCCGCCTGAAATGTCGAAAAAGCATTGCACAGACCAAAGGGCATGACCAAGTACTCGTAGTGGCCATTGTGAGTCCGGAAGGCGGTCTTGTGCGCATCCTCCTCCTGCATCCGGATCTGGTGGTACCCGGCCCGCAGGTCGATTTTAGTGAAGTAGGTCGAGCCATGAAGCTCGTCGAGCATATCATCCACTGTAGGGATCGGGAACCGATCCTTCACCGTCGCCGCATTGAGCGCCCTGTAGTCCGTGCGGAATCTCCAAGTCCCATCCTTTTTCTTGACCAGAAGCACCGGCGAGGAAAAAGGATTGGTGCTAGGGCGGATTAGCCCGGTCTCGAGCATCTCCTCCACCTGCCGCTCTATCTCCTCCTTCTGCGAGTGCCCGTACCGGTAGGGCCGGACATTCACAGCCTCCACTCCTTCCTTGAGCTGAATCCGGTGATCAACCTGTCTGTGGGGTGGCAAAGTGGTCGGCGTCTGAAAGAGCTCTGGGAACTCATCCAACACCTGCTGCAGATCGGGGGCCACCTCCTTCCCATCCGTCGCCACCGCGGGCCAACAGAAGACCGCCAACTCGGCCTCCCCCTCCACGAGGCACTCATGGAGCGAAATGGGACCCAGAGCCGTCGTCAGCCCTTGCAGGCTCCATTCCTTATCTCGCCACTTGAACCGCATGGTTAAACACCGCCAGTCAGTAGTCACCTGGCCCAATTCCTGCAACCATGGAACACCCAATATCATGTCAAACCCACGGATTGGCAGGAAATACATATCCGCGGTGACGGGCAGCCCTTGAACCGCGAACGAGAGGCCCCGATATACTGCTCGGCACCGCATAGGCGCCCCATTGGCAACCCGGACCACCACGGACTCCACCATACTCGGCTTCTGGGGCAGTTTCTTAGCCAGTTCCTCGCTGATGAAGTTAAGGGTCGCTCCGCTGTCCACCAAGGTTAACGCGGTGGTGTCGGGTATCTCTGCTCGGAAACAGAGGGTTCCCGGTGTAGGCAGGCCGGTCACCGAGTGGAGCGAGACCGCCGGAGCAGGCTGAGGTAGTCTGCTTCCCCCGATCCCCGCCGCCGGCCCT